AGGGTATTAGCTTCGTCACCGGGAGTGACAGAGGGTTGTTCTCCATTTTCAGGAGTAGGATGCTCAGTACTAGGTCCGGGAACCTGTTCTGGCTCAGGGCGTTCTTGCTCAGCCGAGGAGCTACCTGGCTGTGGAGCTTTAGCGCGTCTCTGAATATCCCTCATTGGTCTCTCTACCTGTTGTTCCGTAGGAAGCTTACTGCTGCTTCTAGGATCACCGGTAAGACGAGTAGGTGGTCTCCGCACACGACCTGAACGTCTCAACTGTTCTTCAGCAGGAGGTTGTTCATTCCGGGGTTGTGGCGGCGGACTAGGATCTCGTGCTGGCTGTTCAGCTGGCACAGGCGGTGCAACGTCTTGCTCCGGATCCTGTCTCCTTTGGGGAGTAGTAGGTTGATGAAAGATGGGAACATCATCATCACCAGGTGGAGGAATAGGATCTTTAGGATCTGGGTTGCGATCTGGTAGTCGCGTAGAGCGATGACGCTCTGAGGATTTACAACGAGGAAATAATTTCTCGTCAAACACAGCGTGTGTAGCAGTGAACATGGCATTGTTCGACCGCATGTAGATATTTCCGTGTCCACCGTCAGAAACTCCGAGATATGTCATTAGTTCTGACCTAGGCGATTGTTTGTTTGTCCGTACTTCTTCATGAAGATAGACATACGCGCCACAGCCAAAGACACGCAAGTGATCTATGCGCGGAACTTTGTTGTACAAAATCTCATATGGTGTCTTCCATTTGTGACGACGCATAGGAGTGCGGTTATACACATGCACAGCGTGTGCAACAGAGAATTCCCACCAGGAATCAGGAATACAGGCTTGAAAGCGCTGTGGTTCACTTTTCTCAATAATAGTCCGGATAAACCTTTCGGCTCTTCCATTCTGCTGGTGGATATGAGGAGATGACCATTGTGCTTTGATACCTTCGTTCTTAAAGAACTCATCAAGTGCATTGGATCTAAATTCTCCGCCACCATCAGACATCCATTCCTTGACGTTAGTCTCGTATAGATTTTTGACTGTGGCAATGAATTGCTTTATCACCGGAAGAGCTCCGCTCTTCTTTTTTAAGTGGCAGTAGAACCCATGCGAAGTATAGTCATCTATGAAGAAGATCGTATACTTGTACTTGTGGTACGAAATGGTAGGCCATTCTTTGAGGTCTGAGTGAATAATCTCGAAGGGACGTGATGCCCGACGATTAGTTGGCGGAAATGGACGTAAAGTCATCTTTCCCTTGGCACAACCTTCACATAGATCTTCCTCATGGGGAATGCTAAAGGTGGGAACACCTTCTGCATGTTTCCTCAGTTGAGTGAGTGCTTCGCGCGATGGATGACCCATGCGACGATGCATGGTAGTGTAGTCCACTGAGTGGATCACTAGGTTTACAGCTATAGGCTGTGGCGAATAATCTTTGAGAATGTAGATTGTATCGCTGTGAGTTCGTGGTTCAAATGACAGGAATAAACCGTCTTTGTCCCAGAAGTCAACTTTGTCTGCGTTGCCGCGAACAGTTTTGCCATCTTGTAGGAAGCGTCCTTGTGCTATAAGGCGATGACTCAACTCCTTCATATAGAATACTGGAGCGATTCGTGCCGAATGCATGCGACCTCTAACATCCTTGAAATTTATCAAGACAGTCCCAACGCCAGTAATGTAGGCAGTTGTGGTTGCAGTTGCTATGAGCACTCTTTCCTCAAGGTCTTCATACTCAATGAAGTCACTCAAGTCAAAGGTAGTGTGTTCAGAACAACCAGAGTCGTTCATCCACCATTTAGGTTGATTTCTCTGTTTACCCTTACACTTCTTGCACACAGAGTATGAAACGTCATGTACACAAAAATGTTCATTGGATATATACTTGGCATCGATACGGTAATTATACAAACGGGACAAGAGATCAGGCTCAAAGGCCGACTTGCATGTCTTCGCCACTGCAACCGATGAAGGTGCGTTAGTATATCCCATATGGTCAAGATCAGAGGAGGGTACTGACCCCATGGTGTCCATGAATCCAGTGATTGCCAAAATTTCACGATCCAAGTCGAAGTTCATCAACTCATCAGGGTCGAAAGAGGCAGTTCCTGGGACCTCAAAGTCCATAGGAGGAGGTGGAGGAGGCGGCGTAGGAGCCTTACTGCCATTCTCAACATCATCCACAGGAGACATTGCACGAGTGCGCTTTGTCGGAGGATCAAGTTCATCATCACTGTCCAACTCCGAAATATGCCCAGCTGGCTCAAGGGTGCGAATGACTTCGGCAGTCGCACGGACGCCAATGTCACGGGCACGTTTAATGGCCATCCTTGTCTTCTTATGAAGATGAAGGGACGTAGCATTAGGAGGAGGGTTGTAAGGAGGATGGATGGAGTGCTTGCGCACATCTTGAACAGAAGGAGTAAGATCAGTACGTACCGGACCAAAGTCAACAGTACTGCCAATCGGACTGAAGTCCATAGAGTCTGCATCAGCTTGGGCAGCGTTTGCATTCTTCTTAGCCTTCTTGTTCTTTCCACTGCCACGCTTACGCTTCTTCTTGTTGTCATCGTTCCCATTCTGTCCCTTCTGCTGCTGGTTACTACTGTTACCATGCTGCTGTTGGGAGAACTTGGGATCGTTTCCCTTGCGATGAACGTTCGAAAACTTGTTCGCGTTCTGCGGTTGGGAGTTGCCAATGGTGTCTCCGCTGAAAGCGTTCATAACTGCGATACGAACTTTAGCAAAGGTCAATTTCTTGAGCTCTGCAGTTTCAAGCTGAGACATGGTTTGGATAACAACAGAGTAACGTGATGGGAGCTTAGATAAAAGAATCAAAGCTTCGAGGTGGTCAGCAAGACCAATGCCAGCTTCATCCATACGGGTGAAGTACATGCCAATCTCCATCATAGAGGACAGCGGATTTTGCTTGTATGGAATTTTAATAGCCATAGCGGCAGCAAAGTCATTAAAGACTGCGCCCAGACTCTTGACATTGTAAGTCTTGGCTAGATAGTTCCAAAGCTTCTTAGCTGTGTCGCTGTATTCCTTGGCAAGGATGCGGATGGAGGGAGAGATACGGAGGCGAATGTTACCAATAGCCTTGGTGTCGATCTCCTTCCAGGCTTTGAAAACAACCTCATAGTTCTTCCAGGCTTCAACACTGGCGGCGTTTGCAGCAACAAGTGGAGATGGTTCACTGGGTTGGTCAGTCGTAATTGCTGATTCAAGCCCTGTAGCCTGAAGGAAGGCTTCCATTTCGGAGGCCCAGGTGTCGTAGTTATCACCTTTGAGGGTGGTGGTAACAGCGGTGAAGAGTGCAGAAGACATTGCGATCTGGATAAAATCAACAGAAAATGTCAGCATGCAATTCATAAACGCTCAATGACAACAGATGGAAACAAAATGGCATGAATGTTATTGCCAGTAGTGACAAGCTGCGACATAAGTCTAGCAAGCTGTCATCTACAGTGTCAAGCACTCTTGGGTGATGTCATAATCAGCACTGTTAAGTGCGATATTGACTTCAGCACCAGAGGCGACGTTCCAGGTAAAGGTCTGTGTCAGAGACAGCAATCAAATAGATGCGTCAATGACAACAGTAGACCAGAGAGCGCTGCGAGCTTAGAGCTCAGCAAAGCGTTCATCCGGGGCCCATAACCTGTTGAGCAGGCAGGTAGTGCATAGTGGAACACTCTCCAGCACCTTACCTGGGTAGTAGGGCTTAGAGTCTCAGAGAGGCAATAAAAGTAAGAGAGAAGCGAGTTGGATTCCAGTACAGGATATGGCCTGTTTATATACATAACTGTATGACAGTATTACATAAGGAAGTACAGAGGAATCCGCATATAGTAAATGACTAGATATGACTACATATGACATATCATAACACATGATCATATTAGTGGCATGTGAACAGCATAGCCGCGTTCAACACCTTGTGGTCGAGGATGGACATCAGTGCAACCTGAAGGGCGAAACGACGAAGTAGTGTGCTATGCCATTATTGTTGCACCATGGACTCTGGAGGGATGATTTTGGGAATCGTTCGTCCGCTGCAGATTCACCATATCATGGCATATCTTGTTCCGACAAGAAATCCTTACAAAAGGTATATCACCTATCCTCATACTCCTGTATACGGCTGTAAGTAGCACTTACCACGTCTTCAACGATTGAGCTGCATATCGAATCACCAGTTTCTCGTACCCAAATGAATCACAAATCATCCGTTATCAGACATGTATTCATAGCCTTCTGAGTATTATACTCAGATCATACTTGGCATATAATAGCCCTATACGAGTGGATATATATGACCCAGACATCTTTTGGATTGTCATTTGGCATTTGATAGAAGGCGACAGGCAGCTACACAGTCTGGGACAAAGGTACAGTCAGTGATTAAACAAATGATAATGACCGAGCACTGTATCGTACTTACATTGTGTTGGTTCACATCCTTGTACTCGTCCTACTTCCCAATGGTACACCTTCCCTTCTTGTAGTGGCCAATCCGGATCACCAGGGCCAATGCCCTGTATATGATATTTATCTCCTTCGCAGCAACCATAAGCCTATCCAGCCGACTCACAATCCTAAATGCTGAAGAAACACCACACAAAACATTCTGATATTACCGATCAATAACCGTTGAGTATGTAAAAGGTGCATTTCCTTACAAATACTACTCATTTTCCAAGGTCTCCCTTGTCAACGTCCGCTCGGCAGACCGTAATCTTCTTCAGCTCCTTGATGTATAACATTCAGCCCCTGTGATACTGGAGCATGAACCTCTCGACGAGCGGGCGTAGGGTGATTTGAGAGAGAGGTAAGCGCGTACGAAGGGAGGTATAAATATCATACCTAATAAGAAAAGACAAGGAAATTCGTAAGTCTAGATTAACATACAGTGGAAACAGACATAGGAGGATTGGACGAACTAATAACTGCCGACACATCTCCTTGGAAATTCGGGTCTGTAAACCTTGTTCGGCCGAGTAGGGCGCGGGTTCATGCAGGCTCGAGGTGTTCAATGACGGAAAGAAGGTGAGAGAGCGAGTACGAGATTTGCCTGTCGTCACACATGAGCAATTCATAAAATCGCTATCACTGAGCGTACATACATCTGCAAATTGAACAGTGTATGATATCGCTCCTCGGGCCATTTTGCTCTCAAGGAAATCTAGAAAACAGATCAACAGAGCGAACAATAAAAAACCTGAACATGACTGACCTCCGTTTGACGTTCACCTGGCCCCTTTTCAATCTTCCCAGCTTGAGCCTTACCTTAAGAAGAATTATGGTATGCAACGGAAACAGAAGTTCACTCACCCAGGCCACACTCTATCCGACTCCACTCGACGGCTATGCTTGGAATTGATCTTGATACGAGTAACTGATAACCTGTGAGGCGGGATCATTTAGACTGAAACTCAAAAACATTGAATCGTTCTTACCAAAACCGTTGTCACACAAAGAAAATCAAAATCTTCATCGGAGGTACAGCCTTATGTAGAAGAAGAACGGGAAGCATACTGCGAAGATCTCCCCAAAGGCGTAGAAGCCTGATTCGGTGCACATATTTACCTGAGTGTCAAAGACACGAATAGTTGATAAAAACCTTCGATCAGTATAATCGTGTACTCACCACACAGACCTACACCGCCCCCTAGAAAGGTACTAAATATTAGCGTAAGGAAGCCAAACGTGGTGTCCCCGCGAAATCTCGCAGACGTGAGCTGAGCCATTATACTATTGAAATTGAATTAGAGGACGCGAGCTTTTGGGAAGGACAACGTTAGTCAGGGAAACAACGCACATTCCCCCAAGGAACCGATTGTCTAGAACCGCATTCCCCAAAAATGGAATCAGTCGATATTCAATGCGATAAGAAGTGAGAGGACCTGCTCACCGTAAGCAAATTGCGCTGATCCAGGGATGAAGAACGGGATGCACATAAGAGCTGCTCATTAAATCCTTCAGTATCGAAAGAGGGATCAAACCACCGCTCACTCGTGAGGACTCCCGCTTTCATGACATACAGCGCGTTCCCAGTCGTCAAGCCCACGACGCGGTTGTAGATCCATCTGTCCATGAACTCCCCTACATTACTCAGAAGCAGCGCATCTGGGTCTCTTTGTTTGTCTACGGTAAGCCCATACCAAACATATTATCATCTTCGTCGTTCAGGACGCGATTCCCAACTCTCGTTTCACCCGAAAGTTCATCAAATTCAATATCACTCCCCCTATCACAATTGACGTGCTGAACCCGGTCTGGATCCTCTTCTTCCCCTTCTTCTCCTGCTGCACCAGCACTCGCACTGCGACCTACGTTTATCGTTGTCCGTCCAGACACTCTTGATCCATTCCAAGAATACAGTGACACTTGTAAGACTATGAAACTTTGGCGTCCAAATACGCTGATGGCGACGTTCAGGTCGGGTTTCCAAGCAGATAACGGGATCGAAGAGTTCTCCTGGCATATTCGCAAATCGCATAAGGTGGTACTGGTACACATGACAGTTGAACAAGTATCGATGAGACGGCAGCTGGTTGTACTCATAATTCCAATTGTTTTGAATCTTCTGTACCGACAGGACTGTTTAGCTTTCTCTCGACGCTCGGTTTGAGTAGCAGTGCTGAGTATAGGAGATGATTCCCCGCGCTAGCTCCAAGACGCACCGTCTCCAGAAGCAACATCAGCAAACCATGATTGAAGACATACGGTGGCGGATTGACACTGCTCGAGAAGCGGGGTGGAAGATCCTTGCAAGAGTTTGTGAGTCTGAGTGGTATGAGATTCTGTCTGTCCTGGGGTCATGCCATGCATGACCTTCTAGATCCAGAAATATCTGACTCTCAGAGACACTGACTAAGAAATATCGATAAGAGACTAACTTTTCATTCATAAGGGGGAGGGGACATTTAACACACCAGGAGCATGTGAGGTAGGCCGATTTCCATACGATGACGAGGCTCGGTGATGGAAACGGCTACTGTTATGTAAATGCGCCCGATGAAGAATATTACTGAGATGATGATGGTGTGGTGGCTCGCTATGTCTTTCAACTGGAGTACTATGGCTCGTTCTTGCAGGTGTGACGGGAAAACGTTCGCGAGTAGGATCGACAAGAGTAAAGTCAATCAACATCCCGTTCGCGGGAACAGCGACACGCCTTGCAAGATCCTGCAGCGGTCGCCAGTCTCTCGGGATATACCGGGCATATGCTACCTCAGACGGTAGCAATGGTGCAGCTTGTGCTAGAGGACCTAGCGCTGCTTGATTCCTGCAAGGGAATCAATATGGCCTTCGAACTCTTCTACGAAATCGCCACCTGGCGTTGTCTGCGTTGACTGCAGCAATATCAAATGGATCGAGGCAGCTTTTTGCAAGGGGGGCGAAAACTGCAGCAACCCACTTGGTTGCTTTGCTTGACAGGGTTTCCGGGAAGAGGACGATAGATGCCAAGGTGGATATAATGGAGTGAAATTCCAAAGGGATAAAGATGGCTCGACCGAGAACGTAGTAAGAGTAAGGAACTAGGACGGCCGTGGTCAAGTTGGTTATTACACATATGCACGAGAAGAGGGTGGCGAAAAGATAGGGACCTAGTCTCTGATGAACACGAATGTAAAGCAGGATGGCGGTCCCGATGAAGATGAGGATGGCCAGTATTGCACCAGGAGCAGCCTGGACGTAATGGCCATTTGGAAAGAGCGCTGTCTGAGTCGGTACAAACGTATCCAAATTGGTTCGTGCAAGGTTCACCAAAAACATGCCTAGGACAGGCGAACGCCCAGGCAGCGGCGACGAACAGAGAAATGCGGACCTCACGCTCTAATACTGCCAGGAAAGGGTCAACTGGTGGTGAAAGAAAGGCGGCGATAAGCAGGAGAAAACTAGCCTATGAAGATGGTATCAATTTACAGTGAAATCTCGCCGGAGAAGGATGAAACGAGCCTAAAGACGCACCGTCGGCAACCATTTTTTGACTTCGACAAGACATTTTCCGACGCTTAGGCATACTTTTGGACTATAATATACTCTGTCGTAGACGATCGCCACGATGAGCACCAATGGCGATACACCTTCAAAGAAAACTTCTTCGAGGATGCCGATGCCCTCGTTGAACCAGCTGGCGGCGAGAATGACTAAAGACGGGTCAACCACCAATGGCACCTCTAATACCAACAGCAACAACAATACGAGCAATGCAGCAACGACGAACTTAACAGCAGCTCCCCGTCCCCGACTTGCGGCTTCAATCCTACGTACCACTTCCAACGCCTCGATGAATTCTACAGCGAGCTCGAATGATTCTGTGGCAGTCAATCCCGCGAACAGTACTCGCGCTGGATCGCCAAGTCCGAGCTCTGTTTCGACCCCGCGAAGCCAAAACACAACGCCTGGACCTGAAGGCGGAGAATCGTTGACTGTCGATAAGCTTGATAAGCTGAACGCGATCACTAGTGCTGGATCTGGCGCTGGTACTGCATCTACTCTTACTAGTGCAGATCTTACTAGTGCTCCCGCCTACAGTGTAATGTCCAGCGCGGCTTTTACCAGCGCTAGCACCGAAGGCTCAGTACTCGCTTCCAGTGATCCAGATAGTCCAGCACCACCCTTAGGTCATCGGGACTCCAAGAAAGACAAAGGCAAACCACCCGTGAAGGGCTATAAAAATATTCCTTCACTGGATGCCATTACTGCGAGGCTGGCGAAAACCCGGGCACTGAGTATCGATGGAACGCCGAAGCCGCCTGAACCGGAAATGATAGAAGATCCGAAGACTCCTGGGGTACACGTTATGAAGGAGGAGCATCCCTTGCAGTATTCTTGGTGAGTCAAACCCGTATCTTTGTTGTTTGATTGGTTTTTTCCCTTCACTATATCAATGATGATTTTCTCTCTTTGCATTGGGGCTTTCGCTTAAAGTACTAACGATAACAATTCCCATAGGACTCTGTACCACGATTCGAAAGCAAAATTCCCTTACACTCCTGCACCTACTTCTGCTAACCCCACTGGCGCTGCACCTCCGCTCGTTCCTCGGGATCGCGACCATTCAGCCACATCAGCGGTAGCGTCAACAAACAACTCTCCTACTGCTGCCTCTATCCCTACGTCCTCGATGTCGACCAACACATCGGCCAACCCTACCGACCCTTCCCAACCTCAATCCCAAAATCCATTCTCCCACGCTCCGGGCGACTACGAAGCCAACCTTACCGTCATCGGCTCCTTCACCACTGTGGAGCAATTCTGCCGCTACTTTAATTGGCTCAAACCCCCTTCGCTCCTCGAACGAAACTCCAACTATCATCTTTTCAAGTCGCCCATCAAACCCATGTGGGAGGACCCTGCTAATGCTTCTGGCGGAAAGTGGGTGCTGACCATGCGGAATAATCCGGAGCTTCTCGATAGATGCTGGGGATGGCTCTGCATGGCCCTAGTAGGCGAGGAACTCGAAGAGGGCGGAGATGAAATCTGCGGTGCAGTCGTTTCGCTCCGCGCGAAAGTGGATCGCATCCAGGTCTGGACGAGGAGAAAGGATGATGTTGAGAAACTCAACGCGATAGGGAAGAAACTTGTCAAGTTGCTTGACGTAGGGGAACAAGACGGGATTGGGCTTGAGTTTCAGTCTAACACGGAAGATAGAGGGGATCGGGAGAAGGGTGTGCCGAGTAAATTTTTGAGTATCCAGGCGGTGCCCAATACATCGTTTCGGAGCACGTTCCAGGGATCGCCTGTGTCTGCTGCTGGCGCACCCGGTCAGCATCCTGGGGCAGGGGGACCCGGTGGAGGACACAGTCATAGTCGGTCAATTGGCGGTATTGGAATAGCAGGCACTGGGGGCTTTACCCCTGTGGATCAGACTGCCCCACCTTCGAGCGCTGGTACGGCGCCATCTGGTGTGAATCTTGGCAGGTTTCTCTTCCACGACATTAACCCAGTTCTGATTTCAATATCTTCTAGGTAATGGTGCTGGTGCTTTTGGAAGCTTCGGTGTGCCGCTTGGTTCAGCTGGGTGGAGGAGGCGCGGTTAGTATAAGAAGGATACTGAGACATACAAGGTGTAGATGTAAAATAATTGAATTACCACCAAGTGTTCTTCTAGTGTACATCATAACTGATCATGCAATTCCAACCGACCTCTATGTATTCAGACTAGCGAATACTTCGTGTACCACTAGCTATTTATTCGAAGTTCTACTTCCCCTTCCTAGATCATACTTCAGAGCGCATATCTATTTTTCCAGCCAAGTTCAAAATAAAACTTTATGTTCATCAGACTGCTTGTCTCTTCCTCCTTGCAATCCCAACTAAGCAACCTCTATCTGTCTGTGAACTACAACGTAGTTAGTGAGTGGACATATCCTAGGGTACTAACCAGCTCACCTCAGTTGATGTTAGAATAACGAACGAAGGAATGCACTCACGATACGTTCTGCATCCATGATAGTTTGTAGTCGATCATGATGAGCGATGGTTATTAGAGTGACATCCCCGTGTAGTTGATTGTGCAACGAAGATTGTATGATGCTATCCGGCTTATAGTCTGCCGACAGAAGAAATGCATCGTGTTAATACTTTGTAAAAAGCGACAACTAGCACTATACACAGACCTATCGCAGATGTAGCAGTGTAGGAATTGAAAGGACAAGTCAGCCATCACGGAAAAGGCCATGGATAATGATCCCTCCCCCACGACACACAGAACCACATACACGCATACCTTCATCCAAGATTAACAGTTCACTTCCTCTCACAATAGCTCGAACAAGAGCAACGATCTGTCTTTGACCTAACGAGAAATCATTTCCGCCGCTCGAAACCATTGTATCAAGTGTAATTCGGTCTTTTCCAGGTACATCCTCCTGGAGGGCTTGTAATCCAGCGGATTCTAACGCATTATTCAATGTAAGGTCATCGTGCTCTCCGAAAGGGTCGAGGCTCTCGGGGAAGAAGCCATTGATGAGCTCAGGCTCTGGACGCATTAGAGAGTAAATGTCATTTTATAAGGAAAGAAGCAACGAACGATTTGGGGACGTTGGATCTTGATGCTCGGAGCATTTTGTAAGACCTCGTAGAGCACCTCTCCTGAGGTATAGATACATCTCAGTAGAGACAACACGAGTGAGCTCTGTTGTCACGGTGGAGCATGAGATATCGTCATCAGTTCAACAAAGGCGTACTTTAGTTGATGGCAGGAAAAATGAACATTTCCTGAACCAGTTCGTCTAACTATCCCAAAACGTTCGCAGTAATCACTGTTGCTCAGAAATAACACAAGTGGTATTAGTACATGCACGAACACCAATTCGTTCTCCGGACCTCACATGGGACGAAATCTCTTGAAGGATTTCAGGTCCATCAGGAGAGTATCTCGCCAACAGATTTTCAACACGTAAATCACCACTCCCAGGCCAATATGCCGGAGGATTCCTGTGTGATCAGATTTTAGTTCTTGTTCGATGGTAAGATAGATGTCAATACGTTTGAAACTGAGGAAGTTGAAGAATAATACCGAGGTCAGTTTGGGATCGACAGTGTACCTTACCTACCGCCTGCGAGTCGGAAGAAAGTAAAGGAAGGGGGGTAGAGACATAGACTTACTTCGCGCTTCCAACGCGTTGAATTAGCCAAACATCGCACTACTGAAGGACACTAGAACCCAAGATAAACGTCTTCAGTAGAGGCCAAATCTTCTTGAACAAAATGAAATGGCAAAAGAAAACACCAGATGTGTTCAACGAAAACCCCGTTACGGAAGCCGACTGATGCAGCACACAGACGAGGCCAGGCTCGTTTTTCATAGACGAAGTACCACGCTAGTGAGCAAGTCAACACGGCGAAAGCATGTCACGGTTGATTCTAACAGCCATCCTAGTCTACATACTTAGCTATCTATGTTCACACCACATCAAGATTGTCGTATCATGATCATCTGCCACCCTCAATAACATCGGAAGAGTTCAAAGTGATGGACCGGGAACATGATCCTGATGATGGAAATATTCACACAGCAATGCCGTTAACATGAGCTACTTAAACTCACTGACATTCACAGCTACACTCTGGTAGCCCGCCTCAAAGCTGTGATGACATTGCCTATTCCCGTCCTTATTGTAATCACATTTCTCCTCCAAGGCTTTGCCTATTTTGATCATATTTCACAGGTTGGAGCTGGTCCGGCTGGCTTGGTATCTGCACTTGTTCTTGCCCAAAATGGCATTCAGGTTCGGATTGTGGATAAGGCTGTGAAGTATTCGTCTATTCAGTTCGGGCTGAATCCGGTCGAGCAACCAAATAGGCGAGAGAATTCTGGACTTTATTCTCGAGTTCCTACGATAATTTATACTACTTTGGGCTATCTAGTGTCGGTACCGTAGAAATCCGCCAGAGATAAGAAGATAGGACTTTAGTACACAAATAAGGTCTGTTGTGAAATTCCGCAGAGTCATAAGGGCTCCGTAGAACCTCACAGAACTGGCTAGAAAGAATAATGAAGTCATTTTAGAAGTCGATAGAATAAACGGAAGTAAAGGAGAAGTCATCTGAAGTCGAAGAGAAAGATAAGTGAAGGGAGATGGCGGTCGATACCAAAAAAGGCAAAGGCTCGGAAATGGAACCGAATGACGAGAAGGTGATGATACAACACAATCCCCTCGTTAACTCTTTTGCTCCTGCAAAAGCATTTGCTGAGTATGAGGACATTGGTAACATATTCTACAATGATGTACATATCACAGAAAGGTCACAGAAATGGAAAAAGAGAGTATAGGAATACAATTACAGAGAATTTCGGAAATGGGATGCACGGATCAAATCAGAAGATCAGAATATGCCGTTTGAGTTGCCGGTAGGTCCTTTGTTTACTTCCTGTCACCGCGTCGTCCTGTTTTTAATTTTTCGTGAGCGTCTCGTCGTTGAAGGTCTGCAGATGCATACCAGAGAGAAGGGTCCTCAACCTTTGAAGAGGACTTCGAATAGTAGGGTCGGAGACGGATACCATTGTAGAGATTCCGAAGGATGTAGCCATTCCTAGTCATGAGCTGGTAAGTATTTTTGCCAGAGACATCACAAATAATGAAAGGTCCATCCCAGCGGGGATGGATCTTAGACTGACGTTCATTCTTTCTCAATACCAGGTCTCCAACTCCGAGTCCCTGCTCCTTATACCCATCTTCTCTTTTTGTTGCTTCTTCCTCAAGACGGGCCAAGGCCTTTGCATTAGCTTCTTCTCGATATTGTCCAAGATTTTTGACATGTTCAAGACGACGTTCCTGTAGGACTGTAATTTCGGCATCGGAAGGAGGAATTTGTAGGGTGCCAAAGACAGTATCGTTAGGAAGACGTGGTTCAAAGCCGTACATCATGCGACCCGGGGACATTCCAGTACTAGAATTTTTGTGAGCTCGATGAGCAAGCAAAGCATCCAGTACGTACTCATCCCATTCATTCTGGTGATCTGGAGCGCTGAATCGGGCTAAGATTTGAACCAATGTATCATTGAATTTTTCGAGGCGGCCATTAGTTTGAGGATGATAGGGGGAAGTATGAAGGTGTTCGATGGTAAGTCGTTGAAGGAGATTTTGAAAATTATATGACATGAATTCCTCACCATTATCAGTGAGTACTGCTCGGGGCTTCCCAAATATGGAAATTATATGACGAAGGAGTTGAACAACAGTTTCTGCAGAGCGTCGAGGTAGTTCATCAGCAAAGGTAAAGCTTGTTCCTAAGTCCATTGTAGTGAGAAGGTACTGATTACCACGTTTGGTTTTAGGAAGTGGGCCGATGAAGTCAAAAGCCCAAATGTCGCCGGCGTTAACTCGAGGTAGCGGAAACATTGGCTGAAGATGAGTTGGTTCGCGTTTTGTGAATTGACAATGATCACAAGTACGTACTGTGTATTCAATCATCTCTGTTGAATAAGGAATCCATGCTCGAGTTCGCAGACAGTCTGTGACAGCATTGATACCTAGATGTCCGAGATCTACATGAAGCCTTTGGACAAGTCCTAGGGCTTCAGCAACGGAGGTAGGCACAATGACAACCTGTGGGTCTCTGTCATCGGGACTAATATCTTTGAACAGGAGATTATCACGTACCAGATATTTTCCTTCCGTACTTTTCAAAGGTTTACCAGCCAGTAAGTCCTTTCGGTAGTGTTCGAGAGTTTGGAAAATTACTGACCTGTCTTCAGGATCATTGACTTCGATAGTATGTAGAGGTTGATAGTCAGAATCAGGGATATCGGCATGGCCAGGTCGACGAGAGAGAGCATCGGCAGCAATCTGAGCTGAACCAGGACGATACATGATTTTGACATCGAAATGGGCAATATCATCAGCAAAGCGAGCGAGTCGACGGCCAAGATCCTTTTGAGTGAGGAAGTACTTGAGGGATTCATGGTCAGTTCAAACAACTGTTGGGGAACCTTCAATGTAAGCTCGCCACTTCTTGAGTGCATGAACAACGGCCAACATTTCACGTTCTTGGGCGGAGTACCGTTGTTCAGTTGGAGTCATCTTGCGCGATTCGTATGCTATAGGTCGTAGGTTCTTTTCTTTGAATTCAAATCGCTTTTCGTATTCACCCTCATCCCTCCCTTTGTTAAGATCCTTGAATGGAGTGCAAGACTGTTGAAGAACGGCACCAATACAGGTACCAGAAGCGTCAGAGTCAATGACAAATACATGCCAAGGAGTGGGATGAATGAGAACTTGTGTGTGAGTAAGTGCGTATTTGAGTTTATCGAAGGCGACGGTGCATTCGGGAGTCCAGGAAATAGTTGAACCCTTTTTTGGTGCACCACGGAGAAGATCAGTTAGCGGCATAGCAATTTGAGCGAAACCACGTACGAAGCGCCTATAGTACCCAGCGAGGTTCAAGAATCCTCGAAGTTCTGTAATATTGGAAGGTATTGGCCATTCCAAGACAACTTTCACCTTATCGGGATTAACTTGAATACCTTTTCCAGATACATAGTGTCCGAGATAGAGTAATTCATCCTGTGCCCACGTACATTTATCCAGGTTAAGAACAAGTTCCTCGGCATCAAGAGCAGCAAGTACCTTCTTGACGTGAGTTTCATGTTCATTGGTAGATTCTGAATAAATAACGATGTCATCAAGATAGACCATAACAAAGTGATCAATATACTCACTCAGTATGTCGTTCATCATTGTTTGGAATGTTGCCGGAGCATTAGTAAGTCCGAATGGCATGACGCGGAATTGAAAATGACCGTATCTGCAGGTGAAAGCAGTTTTCGGCTTCGCATCCTCGTCCAAACGAACTTGCCAATATCCCGATTTTAGATCAAGAGTTGTGAAAACTGAGGCGTTGTTGAGATTGACGTAGCATTCATCTATTCGAGGCAAGGGGTAGGCATTTTTTCGAGTTAGATTGTTAAGGGCTCTGAGATCCACACAGGGACGAAGCGTACCATCTTTTTTTGGAATGAGGAGAATTGGTGCAGACCAAGGAGAGTCGGAACGTTCAATAACTCCATCCCGGATACCATTCTCCAAAAAGTTTTTGATTTCGAGGTTCTCGCGGGGAGAATGAGGGCGTCCACGTATACGGATTGGCTGTGCATTGCCAGTGTCAATTGTATGTACCCATCGCCTGAGAGGTGGGTAACCTACTTTTTCCCGAAAACATTTCGGAAACATCTTCATGGCCAGGGTTCTTAGTTTATCACCAAATGAGCCTTTCTTGAGTTCTGTGTCGGCGTCTTCTTTATTGCTAACAGTTGTTGTAACCGTAGAAGTTGGAATAGGAGTTGAAGGGGGAGAAGGGAGTTCCTGATCATTGCTATCACCATTGTCGTCGTCATTGAGCTCACTAATATTAGCAGTATTTGAATCCGGTGAGTATGTATACTGTTCGTCAGGAAGATCAACATACCCATCTTCATTTTTGCTAACCTTCAATGAGTAGAGTTCCTGCGTTTCCTCGGGATCATTTGGGCAACGACACGCTTGAACTTTGACCACCCCCCGAGTACGCGGGTCGACCAACTCGAGGGTGTGCTCCTGCCAGTTGAATTGAACATCGTGTTTTGCAAGAAAGGTTCGTCCAAGAAGAAGATCATACCGAAAACCCGTGCTCTGATCTAGAACATAAGCTAACGTCTCTTCTTCCATAGAACCAATAGTCAATGTAAAACGAGCAAATGAAGCAGTCGAAGTATGACCAGCACCGAAGATTTCGCGAGGAGGGTCGAGTGGAAAAATTTGGACATTGTCAAGGTTCCTAAGTACACGACCATTGACATAGTTGTCGCGCGCTCCAGTGTCAAAGATACAATCAACTACCCTTTTAGATTCCTTTTCCTTGCCCTTTTCGTTCTTCTTCTTATTTTTTCGAGAAAAACGAGAGCGGATTCCACCAACTACAGCGGAATATACAGGCAAGGTAGGCTCTGGAGATCCTTCAAGGTCAACGCTCAAGACATGAGCTTCCAATGGCCTTGTCGGAATAGAACCTAAGAATTGATTGACCTCTTCTTTAGAAGCTTCTTGCTTTCTGAAACGACCTGAGATTCGTCCAAGAAGGGAAGACTTTCGAGAGCTGAAGGGCGAATTTCGACTACGTCCCATGGAAATATGGAACATCGAATGTTGGGGTCTGTTCGGATGACTGTGACTTGGCAGCGGAGGACCATTCTTCTTCCTTCGTGGAAGACGACAGTCCTTCGAGAAATGGCCAAGTTTGTCACAGTTGAAGCAGCGCAAGTTAGCTCTATTAGATGAAGAAGTGCGAGGGGTGAAAGTATCGAGATCCATAGGAGCCGGGGTTGAGGTGTTAGCCAAAGGGGTAGAAGGGAACATAGAAGAAGAGGTGGAGGAAGTATTATTATTGGTTCGTCGTCGAGGGTCACTTGTCCGTGTAGCATTGATATGTCCAGAGGTACGGCGATACCTTTCCCAGACTCGAGCAGCTTCATAAACATCAGCCATAGAAGAGGGATTTGAGTTAGAGATATGGAAACAAAGTTCAGGAGGAAGACTCCGAAAGAAGTTGAACTTACGATCTCCAAAGGTCATATCTGTAGGAGATAATTGCATTTCAAGCTTTTGAAAGCGAGGAATGAATTCAGAAACATTACCTCGGAAATTGCATCGGGACAAACTGTTCCGAAGTTCATCTGTTCGTGCTGGGTGGTCGAATTGAGTACGAAGTTCGCGTTCTAGATGGTTCCATTCGAGAGGTTTGTCTCCATTGTCCTGCTTCTTGGCTAAGTACCAAGTTTGAGCCGTATCACGGAAGCAACCACTTACGATGACTCCCCAATCTTCCTGAGCAATGTGCGTAGCCTTTAGCAAGTCTTGTGCAATGGAAATAAAGGCACTAACATTTTCATCAGGACGGCCGCGGAAGATAGGGAGTTCCGTTCGTAATGGTGCTCGAGCTGTAGCAGTATGAGGGTTAGATGGTGGTGGTGGAGGGAAAGTGATTTCTGAAATTGCTTCACGAAAGAGGTTCGAGAGTTGCTGAGTGTTAACTTGAGCTGTTTGCAAGTCGGCAACCCTCCCTTCACTTGCCGCAAGTCTCGAAGCAAGATTTTCGAAGAGTGGTGCAATCACAGAGAATGCTTCAGTAGATAGGACTGACTGGAGTTGTTCGAGAGTAACATCGGGCATTGTGTATGAGTATAGTGAAAAAGACGAATGAGATTTTAGGCGTTTGGTGTGATAATTGTCGGCGACTAGAATATAATGGTTCTCTAAAGAGAGGTAACCTTGAGCTCGGAGATATCGTTAACAGCTGAAGAAACACTTACAGTCGAGAATCCCAGTCTCGAAGATAACCTGTATCAA